ATGGGTATAGTAATAGGGCTAGCCCTTTAGCTCAGTTGGTTAGAGCACAGTTTCATATCAAGGTCAAGGGTTCCCCATACCAGGCAGCCACAAAAAAAAAAAAAAAAAAAGATAGCAATAATATTTATCTCTTAGATTGTTATTAGGATTAAATGCAAAATGCCTAGAAAAGTGCCCAGGCCCTGATATGATAAGCACCAATAACTTCTAGCTAGTAGTATCATTACAAGACATTTGCAATATCTTGGATATGCTGTATCTCTCTCAGCTCTAGACCTTGACATCTGCTCCTTCCTCTGCCTGGAATATACTTTATTTACTTAATTCCAAACTCATTCTCCATCTCCCAGCCCTGATGTCACTGCTTTCAGCAGACAGATCTTTTCTGATCCACTAGACTTGATTCAATCTCCTCAAATCCTTTCTCACCACTCTTTCCCCTTCAATAGTGACCTCCATTATATTTTACAATAATCATTTGCTTTGCTGTTTGATTTTTGTACTGGATTAAAAATTCTGTGACAGAAGAAACCGTTCCTGTTTGTCTATTACCCCTGTATCTTCAAAGCCTAGCACAGTGCCTAAAAACAGTAGACATTAAATAAATGCTGAAGAAGTCCATTCACTTAAGTAACTTTCTGATACTGGCAAAATTCCCCAAGTACCCAGGGCTACATTATGATTTCCATGGGCCCCAGGCACTTTTGCCTTTGTGGGCCCCTTCCTCCATTAAAAAATAAACATATTAAAAATATAATTTAAAAAATATATAATATATACATAAACATATATACAATTATATTTTATAACTGCCATAGTATAATGATAAATATGATCCAGACTGGATTTTTTTGTTATCTGATTTTAAAGGCCTGGCTGACTAGTTCAGTTGGTCAGAGCACAACCTTGTAACACCAAGGTCATGGATTCGGATCCATGTACTGGCCAGCCACCAAAAAATAAAAATCTGATTTTAAGAGAAATTAAAACATTTTTGAGGGCCATAGGCACTGTGCCTACTGTGCCCAATGGATAAGTTGGCCCTACAAGCATCAGCAATAGAAAGGTTGAAAGCAGCTCACTAAACCAATAACTGGAAAGTCTGGAAGCATAGCAGGATCCAGGCTTGGTTGACTCAATGACTCAACAGTGTCTGCAATTCAGGTTCTTGTTTTTTCAGACTCACCGTTCTTCTGTCCACAATATCAACTACATCCAAAAGCTAGTTTCCTTTATGGTCATCAGATGATTGTCAGCAGAAATGGGAGCAGCATCCCTCCTTGTTTACTTAGTGAGGCAGCCAAGGAATTTTATTCCTTCCCTTCTGATTGAGCCAACTTCAGTCAAATGCCCAGCCTGGGCCATTAACTGTCCCCTGGGAATCCCTCACACTGGTTGCCCTAGCAAATCAGGATCCACATCTGGTATAGGAATGTGGTGTTTGCTAAAACAAAATCAGGGGGTTGGCTGGTTAGCTCAGTTGGTTAGAGTGTGGTGCTGATATCACCAAAGTCCAGGGTTCAAAATAAAAAAAGAAAAAATCAGGAAACAGGAAATGTCTGATAACCCATTCCACAACTCTTGAGCCCCCTCACCACATCAACCACCTAAAAGGGTCAAGAGACCTTTTAATCCAAGGGAAGATCTTACAGGAGAGGATTTGTGGAGAATATTTTTGAAGAAAGCTGTGCAGTGAGCCATGAACCCCAAACCCCTCCCCTTAAGGGGTTCAGTGAGTAAGGACCTGCCCTACCTCAAACCCTAGTGTGGGGTGACTCCACAGGGCTACTTAGAGAGCTTAATATATGACACGTTTGAATGACACTGGGCTGAGATTGATGCCTGGAATATTTGGAGGGCCCTCTATTCTCAATATGATCAAATCACAAATTAGCTCCACTTTGCTGAATCCAAAGGTCAATATTCAGTCTTCATTTTATTTAACATATCAGCATATCAAAACGGTCGGAACAGTTTCTTCACCTGACTTCCAATAGACCAGCATTCCAGGTTTGCCTCCTACCTCCGTGGCCATTCCTTCTCAATCTCTTTTGCCTTCTCCTCCTAAGCTCCCAACCCCTTGATGATGAAGTACTCCAGGACTCAGTGCTTGGACTTTTGTCTTCTCTATCTATACTCATTCCCTCCATATGTTGATAACTTCCAAATGTTTGTATCCAGGCCAGAACTCTCTCCTAAACTTCAGACTCACATGCCCACTGTCTTTACAGTGTCCACTTGGATGCCTAATAATATATATCTCAAAATGTCCAAAACCAAGTTCCCGATTTTTCCCTCCTAAAACCTGCTCCTTCATGACTTCCCCACCTCAAGTAATGGAAATTCCATCCTTCCATTTGCTCAAACAAAAAAAGTTGGAATCATCTCTGACTTCTCTCTTTGTTTCATACCCTACATCCAATCCATCAGCAAAAGTACTTTCACAGTTGTTTGTACCTTCAGAATGTATCCAGCTTAGATCACTTCTCACCACCTCCTCCATTTTTTATCTGAATTACTTCAAGTCTCCCAACTTCCTTCTTCCTTTCATACCTGGATTGCCACAAAAAGTCACCTAACTTCTTCCCATGCCCAAGCAGATGGCTACCAGAATATGCCTTTTTACAACGTGAGCTGATGCCATTCTCCTACACAGAACTCCCTGGTGGTTTTCCAGCTCATTCAGAGCAACAGCCAAAGTGCTAACAATGGCCTATGAAACTCTATAACACATGCCTACTCCCCGACCCACACACACACACCTCTGGCCTCATCTCCCCTCACTCTCTGCACTTGAATAGCTCCCTGTCCTTCCTCAAACATACCAGACACACTCCCACCCCAAGGCCTTGGCACCAGCTATTCTCTCAGCCTGCAATGCCTTTACCCCCCAAAAGCCACATGGCTTGCTCCCTTATTCTTTCAAATACCACCTTCTCCATGAGGCCTTTCCCAACCACCCTATTTAAAACTGCAACTGTCACCACTTCCCCCTCTGTCCCTATCTCCCTTCCCTTCAGTATTGTTCTTCATAGCACTTATGTAGCACATTTGCTTCTAAAGTACTCTATCATTTTAATTTATTTATTTCATCAGTCTCTCCCCATAAAAATATAAGTGCCATGAGGACAGGGTTTTGCTCTTGTTGTTTGTTTGTATTTTAGTCTGGGTTGTTAAATGCTTTATCTCCGGCATCTAGAACAGCACCTGACATATGGCAGGTAACCAATAAATATTAGTCAACTGATGGCATGCATATTTTGCTCTCTATAGTTATCTATTGTTTGAATCTTTTGCAAGAAGAAACGTTCATTGATTCATTCAACAAATACAGATTCAGAGCAAACTCAGGCCTAGGTACTGTGGTAGTTGCTGGTCAAGGGAGGTGAGTAAAACTGGCTGCACACACTTCTTGGGCTCATGGAGCCTAGTCTAGTGATAGATGATCAAAATAATGACAAAATAAATGTTTAAGTGCTGGAAGGGACAAGGTCTACAAAAACATATCACAAAGAATGCTGGTCCTGCCTGGAGAGAAAGGTGGCCAGTGGAGAGAAAGGACCCGGAGGGCCAAGAAGGCCACAGGAGTGTGATAGCCAGGCTCTGTGTTAAGTGATTTCTCTATGATTTTACTTGGGACTGCCTCTGCCCAGTATGAAAAGTGCAACGAGATGTACTCCACAGTACCTGCTGACAATTCCCTGAGGAAGTAGCGCCTGAGCTGGGAACAATTAACACCCCTTACAGAGGTGAAGAGGTGCAGGTGTATAGAGGGGAGGAGTGGAGTTGAGGCAGAGAGAACTGTGCAGGCCAAGGTTCTGGAGTGACAGGAAGTATGGCACATTTTGGAACACAGAGAACAACAGGGGGGTGGTGGAAGAAGGGGCTGGGAAGGGAAAGAGTGGGCAGGGCTGGCAAACTCTCCAATAGATTCCAACTTTATTCCAAAAAGAACAGGAAGCCACAGGAGCAGCCTTGTTCATTCGTGTTTTGTTTTGTTGCATTTACATTGCGGTGACATGACCAGACCTGTATTTTGAAAATATTATTGAAACTGCCTTGATGGAGAAAAGCTCGGCGAGGAGGCTGAGCAGATGGAGGAAAATCAATGAGGAGGCTGTGAAGTAGTCCAGGGGAGCAGCGCTGGTAACCTGCCCTGGAGCGGCGCTTGCAAAGGGAGAGAAGTTGATGGATTCCAGAGGTTTCGCTACCTGTGCCAAAACATGTTTAAGTGAAGAACAGTAATTAACCATGTCCTTTTACCTTCTATATTTCTGATGCTTTTGACATCTAGGGCCTTACTGACCCTGAAGGGACTGCACCTCCCAGGTTTAGCTAATCCTTAGAGATAGTAAATGACTCACTTGCTTGTGAACACACCTTCTATATGCAAACCAACCAATCCAGACTGCATACCCCTCAACCACCTCTTCTGTGGGTCTCTCTCACTGTGGGCCTCTATCCACCTGTCCTAATCACCCCAGGGACAGGGACCAGCCAACTAGGGACAGCCTCTATAGCCCAGAGCTTGCTGAAATTATTCAAAGTAGCCAATCCTAAACCTGCTTACCCTGCTTTGCCTGTTCCTTCCCACAGAAAACAACGTAAAAGTTCTGCCTACATTTTTTGCAGTCCTCCACCTCCTGGCCAACCATCGTGCTTCCCTATGTGGCCCCACATGACGTGCTATGCCTTCCGTTCCCAGGGATTTGTGAGGATAAACTTCTTCCATCACGACAGCTGTTTCCATGTCTTCGTATCCAACCACACCTGATTAAAACAAATTCTGGGGACCGGCCTGTGGCTCACTCGGGAAAGTGCGGTGCTGATAACACCAAGGCTGTGGGTTCGGATCCCATATAGGGATGGCCAGTTTGCTCACTGGGTGAGTGTGGTGCTGACAACACCAAGTCAAGGGTTAAGATCCCCTTACCGGTCATCTTTTAAAAAAAAATAAAAAATAAAACAAATTCTGGGTATCCTTGAAACAAGAACAACACTTTTGAAAAATAAAAAATGTGCTCAATTTATTCTAATTTATACGAGGGTTGTGTATGACGGTGAAATTCAAACAAAAGAGCATTTCTTCAGCATTCCCAGCAATGGCTTCTGCAACACACCTGTATCGTCCCTAAAATGAGGAATAAGAAATACAAGTAATACAAAATGTTAGATGATGTTATTTTAAAGGCTTTTATAAGCACTTTGTTTTACTAGCAAAAAGCCATTTAAACTGAATTGATAATCATTTTCTTAGTTTTCCAATGAGATGATATTTTGCATGCCTTTGACTTCAGTGAGCATAGAGCTCATTTACGCCCCAATTATAAAACGATGTTTTTACAGTTTTTAAATACTAGCCCATAAGGTTTTCAAATATTAGATTAGTAACAAAATAACTAAAGAATGTACATGATTAAAGTTTATTTTAAAATGGTTACCAAAAGTGAAATTTGTAAAATCTCATTGCTAGGTATGTAATGCAAATATCTAAAATTACAATGGTACTATTCATTGAGGCAGTAGTTATTTTTACAAAAGTTTGGATGTCCGTACTAAGTTTCCAAGAAAATTCTTGAACAAAAATAACCCTATAACTTATGTGATTTTTATTCTCCTAAACAACGTTAACAATATATTTAGCATATTGCATCAATAGTCATAGAGAATTACTGACTTATACACACTGGTTGTCCAGTGCTTTCATCTGAAGACCAATCAACAGATTAATAACATGCATTCAGATTACTTTAAGCCATGTATGTTAGAGAAAAAACTGAAATTTTTAAAAGCTATCTTTTGCGCAATTTTTTCATAGTCTAAAGAAGGAAGAAATATCAAAATATCTAATGCCAAATAAGAGTTAAAAAAAAAAAAGTTCTTGAACATCTTAATCTTGAATTGCTATTTTTAGAAGTGAATTGCTTGTTCCAAATTCTTAACACATCTGTTACTGCAAAAGGTTAAGTAGGAAATAAATCTTGAACAATACCTTAGAAAATAGCATTCCCCCGAAAGAGAATGATATGGTTGTATTCACAGTCTCTGCAAACAAAATACAAAATGTTATTGGTCATCATTAGGTGATTGGTTTTTTGTTTTGGTTTTGTTTTTTTGGCTAGTATAGAGTATACATTTATGGAGTACACTTACTACTGGCAGCAGCAGTCCCAAGCAAAACTGTAGAGAAAGTTTTTCTGGCTGCTTTTCTCCTGTCCCCTCCCCGCCACCCGCCCCAGACAGTCGCTCTCTATACCAACCCATATCGAATCCCTTAGGGGATGCAAACTTTAAAGGCTCACTAGTCTCAATAACAAATGAACGATGAACAATTTAGTGCTAATACACTTCCTCACAAGTTATACACATGTATATTTAACAGTAGCTTTCAGAGATATTGCTGCACCTTTAGCTGAGTATAATAGAAAAGAATCTTCCTAAAGGCTGACGAGATATTTTGGAGGTAGCCAGAATACTGAAGCTCCTTCCAACCACCCCATGAACAAGCATGACAAAGTATTTAGCCCCTGTTTAAATGCATAGTAATGGGTCTGGCCCTGCACAAGCAGTGGAACACAGAGTCAGAAATGCAAGAAAAACCACAACTGCTATTCTAGTCAAACACAACAAAGTAGTGAACTTAGGGGGTAAAGATAGAAAGATGGAAATGTTTTGAATCTCAAACAAAAGAAAGAGTGACCAAAAATCTTTTTTTAATAATATAAATAGCCAAATGCAAAACTTTAACTGTTATTGTTCTCAGAACTGAGTAAAGACAATTCTGAATAGCCAATGAATAGAGTATGTTTGCATGTATACTTGTATTTTCACAAATAAGCATTTTTTTTTTAAAAGATGACCAGTAAGGGGATCTTAACCCTTGATTTGGTGTTGTTAGCACCATGCTCACCCAGTGAGCCAACCGGCCATCCCTATATGGGATCCGAACCCGGGGCTTTGGTGTTATCAGCACCACACTCTCCCGAGTGAGCCACGGGCCGGCCCTAAGCATTTTTTTTATTTACTTCTGGGTGTATCCTTATTAAGAGTCTTAATACACTGAGATGTTTCTTGATCTTAGTAAAGTGATCATGTCTTCATAATCTCATGATCATTCATTTAAGACCAATCCAATTCAAAAATTTAGCAATTCAACAAATATTTCTTAAAAGCCTACACATATCGGGAATTGGGAAGACAATGGTTGGTACAACACTGTTCCTTCCCTCAAAGAACGAAAGTCTATTAGGGACATAGACGTGTGGAGAGTGATGGCTTTGGGGCCAGAACTGCTTAGGTTTGAATCCCAGCTCCTCTATTTACACGGTGTGTGACCCTGGGCAAGTCATTTAATTTCTTTGTGCCTCAGTAAAATGATGATGGGTAATAACACCTAACTCATAGGATTATTATGAGAGCTATATGAGCTAATACATGTCACGTGTGCAGAACAATGCCTGGATCATAGCACTCATTAAATATTACTAACATGAAATACTATTTATGGTAATATTTAATATTATTCCTTCTCCTTTCTATACTCCCTTCTCATGGCATCTTGTGAATAATAATAATGATATATTGATATGTTAATATAATATTAATATTAATATCAATACATTGATATAATATTAATGATATATATTTTTATGTTGTGTAATATTAAGACAATGATAATAATAATAATAATAAGGTCTATCTCATTAATCTCTGGTTTCCTAGAGAGTATTTAAAAAATTAAATCTTATTTCATTTTTCTTTTTATCTTTATTTCATTACTACATTAAGATTGTGTTTTCCCTACTAGTCTATAAGCTCCATGAGATCAGGGGCTAAGTAAGCTTTGGTCACTTTTGAATCTCCAGCTCCTAGTATCTAGTCCCTGAGTACCCAGCCTCAGGACCAGGTACATAATTTACAAGGTCCAGTACAATGAAAATGTGGGGCTCCTTATTCAAAAATTAGAGGAAAAGACTTGTTAAAGTTACTAACATATAAAGTTTTTTTCTTTGTTCCACAGTCTATCTCTAGACTTGCCATGTTTTTTTATTGCTATTTAATATCATTTAAGTTAAGAAAACCTAAAATTTTTAATCATTAGTATACATTTTACCATTCATCCTTTCATTGTACAATGACAGCTTTAAACACAAATATCAGAGCATTTAACTCCAAGGCAGAATCCACAATCTGTATTTCACAGATCATCCCCAAAGGGTGCCTCAAGCTGACCAGAGGAAATTAACACAAGCCAGTCCCAGGAAGTTTGGAAGGAGGAAGAGAAGGGCCCCAGGCCTGGAACACCCTGAGGAAACACTCCCACAGCAAAGAGCACAAGGTGAGTGCAGAAGTTCACAGGCGCCCAGGGGCCGCTACATGACTCAGGGCACCTGTGCAAGACTGGGCCTGTCAGGTGCCCCTCCCACAAGCTGCCAGATGCTCCAAGCCCCAGAGGAGGGCAGGATGTCAAATCAGGTATCTTTCCTTCCCACAGCCTGCTGTCCCACAATGGCCCTCAAGGTACTAAAACCTCCATGCAATATTTCCACACAGTACCTGTTTGGAGGGGGGTGTCTTTCACCCACCTAGTCACCTACTGAACAGTGCCATGGTGTTGCCAGCCCAGGTAGGGCAGCCACTGTCAGGCTCCACCCCAGACACTGCAGCACTGCAAGGAACCCACACCTGATCCTGAACCCCCCTGCACCCAGGCCACCAACAGCAGCAGAGGATGGCAGGTGTCACTAGACATGAGTGTAGAGGGAGAAGCCAGGCAGGGCCCAGGGTGGCAGCAGGGGAGTGGGCAGCAGGGAACCAAGAACCCGTACAGGAAAGATGGGTACATACCCCATGGCCTCATCAGACTTCACTTATAAAACACACACTCAGAGATAAAATTATTAAGAATTTCATTCAGATCCCTGCACCAGCCAGTCACAAAAAAAAAAAAGAGTTTCAAGACTATGATCATAGAACATTGACCCCCCCAACAGCATGGGGCCCTTCTGAGTGTGGGGCCCTGCTCATGAAGCCAATCCTGCCAACTCTGAGAGGAAGAAAGGGAGATTAAAAGACTTGAGGATTTGAGAAAGTAATCAAGAGTAACTCCTAGGTTTCTGTTCAGGGAGACAGCCCAAACACTTTGGCAGGGCAGGTGGGGAGATGGAGCTCTAACCTCTTCTCTTGCGGAGCCCTCTTTTCAATTGTCTTCTCTCTTGGAGAGCTCCCATCTTGGTACTATCTCCCATTCTATTCTTTTTTATTATTATTATGGGTTTTTTTATTGAAACATATTGACTACATATATTTATGGGGTACTGAGCTATATTTCAATGCAAGTATCCTGTCCTATTCTTATGGGAAGTTAATTGAAGCTTTGCCTGCATTGAAGAAGCCAAGATGGAGACAAGGCAGAGTCCTGGAAAGGAAAGACAAACCCCTTCGTAGGCCCTTCTCCACTCTTCCCAAAAGGTATCCACGCAGCTCATCTGTGTTCCATTTCAGTTCTCCTGGCAACTCTGCAGGATGCAGGAACCAAGCCTCAGATGGTGTTATGGGTTGAATGCGTCCCCCCAAAAGATATGTTGAAGTCCTAACTCCCAGTACCTATGAAAGTAGCCTTATTTAGAAACGGAATCTTTGGGGCCGAGCCCGTGGCGCACTCGGGAGGGTGCAGTGCTGGGAGCGCGGTAGCGCTCCTGCCACGGTTCGGATCCTATATAGGATGACCGGTGCACTCACAGCACTCACTGGCTGAGCGCAGTGCGGCCAGTCTCAAAAAAGGACAAAAAAAAAAAAAAAAAAAAAAGAAACAGAATCTTTGCAGATGATCAAGTTAAGATGAGGTCATTACAGTGGGCTCTAATGCAATATGATGGCACCCTTATAAAAAGGGGAAATTTGGACACAGAGGCAGACACACACAAGGAGAATGCCATGCCTGTGAAGACTGGAGTTCTGCTGCCATAAGACAAGGAACTACCAGAAGCTAGGAGGGTGGCCTGGAACACATCCTTCCCTAGTGCCTCAGAGGGAACATGGCCCTGCCTACACCTTGATCTCAGACTTCTGGCCTCCAGAACTGTTAGAAAATAAATTTCTGTTGTTCCAATCCACCTGGTCTGTAGTACTGATATAGCGGCCCTAGCAAGATCCTGGTAACAGGGCTAACAACTTATTAAGTTTAAAATGCGTTAAAATATCCATTTATTTAGGGGCCAGCCTGTGGCTTACTTGTGAGAGCTTGGTGCTGACAAAACTAAGTCAATGGTTAAGATCTCCTTACCGGTCATCTATTTAAAAGAAAAAAATCCATTTATTTATTCATAAATGTGTTTTTGAAAGAAACAAACCTAAAGGGATGTGTGTGTGTGTGTTTGTATAAAAAGCTTTAAGACTATGGGTAATTTTTATTTTATTTTTGCTTGTCCATATTTTCTAAGTATCATATCCTAAATATGTATGGCTTTTATAACAACAACATAAAGAAAAGTGATTTTAAAAATAGATATGTATAGTACTTGCAAATTTGACTCCCAAATTTCAAGGGTCTCTTGATACGCCAGCACTTCTTAAGTCAGAATGTCCTAAGCTCTGAGCCCACATACTCAGTTGCCAGATGGACATGTTTATTTGAATGTTCCAAAATTACCTTGAGCTCAACATGCCCAAACTGAAACTCATTATCTTTCTTTTTAAAATCTTCCCCTTCTTTTGTAGGAGCAGATAATGACACTTCCATACAGCCAGTCACCGGCTCTTAAGGGGTTCTTAATTTCACCTAATCCTTGCCTCACACATCAAATCAGTCAATATGTCCCGCCAGTTCTGTCTCCCAATATGCTCTCTCTCCTCTCCTCCCTTTTATTCTCCTGGCCACCATTTTGGTTTACCCCTCATGGTCTCTCACAGCCTCCTGGCTGCTCTTCCTTCCGCGCAAGGTTCCTGCCTCAGCCAACCCAGGCCTCCTTCCATAGGGACATCAGTTATCTGCAAAAATGGAAATCTCGGTGGTTCATTTCCTACCCACTGACTATGAGATACAGGCAAATATTTTGTGCATGACTTATATGCTCATCTTGTGCCCTTTCCTAGGCTGATCTCCAGCAGTTCCCTACAAGCACATTCTGCTCCAGCTACAAAAAAACTAGTCTTCAAATAAACCATATTCTTATGGCTAGATGTGTTTGCATATGCTGTTTCTTCTACAGGAAATGTTCTTCCTCTCACTCTCTGATGTTCTCAGATGTAAGACTCTCATAAAATGTGTTATGAAGACTTATCTGAGTTTTCCTGTCACAGTTAGTCGATAACTACATATAGTAGTTAAAAGTAAAGTATTTAATTCTATTAGCGTTTATGACACGCTATTGTAAATTTTGTTCCCATGACAGTCTTTCCCAGAACAAAGTGACTTTCCAATGAAGGAGACCCTACCACTCAAGTTCAGATCACCAGAACCTAAATCATGATCTGCTCAAATTAGGCTCAACAGATGTTTGTGGAAGGAAGTGGGGATGAGGAGAGAGAAGAAGCAGTCAGGCTGGGTTGAGTCTGACACATATCCTAGATCCCAAGAAAGCAAAACTTTGAAAATTCAAATAAAATGTCAACGTAATCCTACAGAGATTATGTGAAATAATTATAAAACAGCTGTGCAGGAGAAATGGACAACTTTTTGTTTGTTTGTTTCATTTTGTTTTTTTGAGGCTGGCCAGTACAGGGATCTCAACCCTTGACCTTGGTGTTATAACAGTATGTTCTAATCATGGACAGTTGTTTTTTTAAAAACAGTAATATGCCAAGAGAATTTTTTTCAAAGGGAAAGTATGGCCCAGTGGAAGAGTGGTGCCTTAAGAATTAGCAAACTGCTCTGTTACCAGTTCTCCAAGTGACCAAGGACACATTACTGAACCACTGCAGGCACTGGTTTCCTCAATTGTAAAAATGACAGAACTATAAAATCAGGAACACAGATAGATTCCTACTCTGAGCACTATACTAAGCTTTTTTACACACATTCTCTAATCTTTAAAACCGTATAAAATGAGTTTCACTGTCCCCATTCTACAAATAAGGAAAATGATGCTGAGAGGTTAAATAACACACCCAAAATCACATTGTTGGTAGGTGGAAAAGCTGGGACACAGACTCCAGTCTTTGTGACTCTAAGCCCAGAGTTATAAACAATGCCAGCTCCATAATTTGCATATGGCTTAGGGGTGGCAGACAAGTTAGAAATATGGAGAGAGGGTTGGTCAGGCATCTGTCATCTTGGCATCTTGAAGCTTCATTTGCATAACAAGCACACTAATTTACTTAGAAACTATTTTTTTAATTACTGCTAAAAAATATATAGTTAATTTAATGTCCCCCTCAGAGCAAAGTATAGGCCTTTCTATTATGAATTTTTGTATTACTCTCATTTCATTAGTTCTCTACCCTCCTTTTCCATTTGTTATACCATCTATATCTAATTTATGTTATGTCACTAAATTTTTTTTCTGTGTCACTAAATTTAATGTATGCATGTAAACTACCTGAAATCCTTTTTAAAACAAGACAGAGCACAAATTAATGGTAAATAATTATATGAGAAAACATTCAACTGCAATGAAAATTTAATGAAACAATTAAGTATAAATTTTTTACCTAATAAAGTTTTGGAGTTTTTTTTGGCAGCTGGACAGTATGGGGATCTACCTAATAAAGTTTTTTAAATGTTTAAAAAAATGATAATGCCCAATGTTAACAAGAGTGAGATTAAACTATTATACATATACATATATATTGCTATATAAATTGGTATGAAGTATAAAGTGGTACAATCCTTTAGCAAAGCAATTTGGCTTTATGTAAACAAAACCACCAAATATATTTAAACCATGTAACCCCAGAAATTTCCCCAGGAGTTATCTGTAACTTGTTCTTTCAAATAGGGGAATATTTAAATTTAAAATATAAGAAAATCAATATGTGGAAATATATTTATTATGATACTATTCATAATAGTAGAAATATCAAAAGGAAACTAAATGTCCAATAGGAGAATTGTTAAGTAAACCAGGCATGCCCACTAAGGAAAATGTTTCACTGTATAATGTATATACCCTGATTTTTGGACCACATAGATTACCTATTCAACGAGCTAAATTAATTAATTTTTAAAAAGAAACCAAAGAATTGTAGTACAGTATACTTACAACTACATAAGTAATATGCATACATAAAAAAAAAAGAAGGAAATGCTCCAAAATATTTTTAGAAATATGATTCTGTGACTTTTTTATTGTCTATATTTTCCAGTTTTTGGTAATGTGACAATATGATATTGACAATCTTTTTTTTTTTTTTTTTCCTTTTTGTCTTTTTTCGTGTCCGGCAACGGATCGCAACCCTCAGTGTTGCGCCCGTACCGGACCAGGACCAGCAACGGGATCGCAACCCTCAGTGCTGCGCCCACACCTCGCTCAGCCAGTGAGCGGGAACCGGTCTGTATGTGGGATCCGAAACCTTGGCAGGAGCGCCGCCGCGCTCCCAAGCAGCGCACTGTAGCAGTGCGCCACCGGGCCGACCCGACAATCTTTTAAACTATTTAAAATACTAGTTTAAAAGTTAGTAAGAATATACTAGCCAACTGCAAAAACAATAAAATTATTAAGGAAAAATTTGTGAGTTTATGTTAAGTGAACTTTAAGGTTCTAAACTCTGAATTTTATGATTCTGTGAATAATTCTAGAAAAGAAAAAAGGGGAAAGACATTTAAAATAACAATGTAGCTTGTTGGTGGGACTGTAGAATGGTGCAGCCTCTATAGAAAATGGCATGGAGTTTCCTCAAACAATTGCAGATAGATCTACCATATGACGCAGCTATCCCACTGCTGGGAATATACCCAGAGGAATGGAAATCATCATGTCGAAGGTATACCTGTTCCCTAATGTTCATCGCAGCACCATTTACAATAGTCAAGAGTTGGAAATAGCCCAAATGTCCATCATCAGACGAGTGGATATGGAAAATGTGGTATATCTACACAATGGAATACTACTCTGCTATAAAAAAGAATGAAATACTGCCATTTGCAACAATATGGATAGACCTAGAGAGAATTATATTAAGTGAAACAAGTCAGGCCCAGAAAGAGAAATATTACGTTCTCACTTATTTGTGGGAGCTAAAAATAAATAAATAAATACACACAAAAAACCGGGGGGGGGGGGAAAAAAAAAAATTTAAAATTCCTTGAAGTTGAAAAGAAAAGCCATAGAAGGGAATTTGTTGGGGGGGGGGGGGGAGGGGGGGGGGGGAGGGAGGTTTCGGTAAAGGCCACAATAACCAACCACATTGTATACTGACAAAATAAAATAAAGTAAAATATAAAAAAAAATAAAAAATAAAATAACAATGTAGCTCATAGAAAAATCTAATGAGTTGCTATGAAAAATAATAAATGTAATGTTTAGAAAAAGAGATCCATAACCA